GGCTGCGGAAAGTTGATCCTGGAGTTTCGCGGTGGTCGCATCTGCTTCCTTCAATTTGTCACCTGGATTGACAATAACAAGTGAATATGGAGTTACTAGCAAGGGCTAAAAGAGGATCCACGTACTCATGCGGCGAAGCTTGGATTCCAGCTCCGTTTGCGTACGCTTGGCATCCGCCCACTCGGTAGTCGCCTTGTCTCGCTGGAGCTCGCTGTCTGCCAGTTTCGCTTGGATCTCGTCCCGCAATCGAGTCATACGCACGAATTCTTCAAGCGCGTAATCTCGTCCGGCAGACGCCCTCTCGAGCGACTCCTTGGTGTCTTGCAACTCCTCAGAGAGTTGAGCCAGGGCTACATCCGGCGACGAGGGAGGTGGATTTGGCGCGGGGGACCCTCCACGCGCCGACCCTAAGGCGGATCCGCCATGGGCGGATCCCACATAGTCGTTGGTCACCACCTCCTCCTGGGTCAAACGCAACTCGTCACGGAGGCGGTCCAAGCTCACATCCGCAGCTGCCCCAGCAGTCTGGGAATCCTCCAGATCCCGCTCGAGGTCGTGGATCTGGGATTGGAGTTGGTGGATCTCAGATCCGGCGAGTGCCATCTCCCTGAGGAGATGGTCGTTGTCATCTCGCATAACGTCTCGTTGACGGGAGGCGCGATCCAGCCGTCCGGTCAAATCGCGGATCTCGACCGCCTGATCAGCCAACAGGAGTCGCAGGTCCTGCGACCGAGAGCCGCACGGTGCTCCCACCCCTGGATCTCCATAGCTTGGTCATGGATTTGGGCCCGCAAGGTCTGAAGTTGGGTAGTGTGTAGAGACGCAGCTTTGGTCTTGGGCATCTTGAGCCGTCTGGAGCTCCGCCGTCAGGGTTTGCACCTGATCGGAAAGAGCCTGGGCTAGAACCCGCAGATCGGTGGGCGACATAGAAGACGGACTGACCGGAGGGGTAGTGAATGGGGGCTTGCTCGACGATTTGCCGGTACGCTTGGCGGGAGACATGGTGTCGCGAAGGGGAGAAAACGATGTGGTGCTGGTGATGCACGCCGTGAACGCTGTTGTGCAGCGCCGACAACGTACAGGAGGCGATTGTGTAAGTGCTTTCTCGAAATAAGGAGATGGGCCTGGACGCGGGGCACTATCCCGAATCAATGACATTTCAGT